GTTTCAGTTTCAATGTAACTGATTTCGGTTATTTTAAAATTTGGAAAATGGAAATGATGCACTTACGCAGCAAAATGATTCTAAAAGGCAAAAATATTTTTTTGTACATAACTCATCTCTGCTAAACGAAATATTTCACTGTGAACACATGCGGCGTAAACGGAAAGAATGAAGCAATATGTTTTATTAAGGATTCCTTTGTTATTTGAAATTCTCATATGACGTACTTCCGCAGTGCGAAGTGTTAATACGAATGAAACATATATGTATATATATATATATATATATATATATATATATATATATATATATATATATATATATATATATATATATATATATATATATATATTGTGTTTCAATTTCCTTTGCTACTACCCTGAACCAGTTTATTTATTAGATTTATAACCATTATAATACTAAATCAAATCAAATAAAGGAAAAGTCAACCCTTTACAAAATAAAGTTTTTAGAAATTTTACTAAGAAAATTCTTATACAAAAAAATAGGAAACTTTCAAAATATATATAATACACGTATTGTCTGTCCTGAAACAAAAGTAATTTCTAGGGAACATTACTGCAGCATCGGCAAATACAAATCTCCCAAGTGTTTGAAAACAAGAAATTATTGACTTGTTAAGCACCAAAAATATTGAATTTGAAGATCATGTGAAAAAAGAACAAACTATTACACAGTTTTATTTTCTTATTTTTTTTTCTTTCTTTTTTTCGAGTATCCTACTGAGAGACACCTTTGCCACATCATTTTCAGGCTTGGCAAGTGACCCAAACACCCGGGTGTACTACCAGCAACCGATAAAAAGAAAGAAAAAAAAATAAGAAAATAAAAACAAAATCGTTGGCTCGCTCTGTAGTCCATTTGTGAAGTTATTGCTCTACACCTATCTGAACTAAACTATAGTTTAGAAAACACACTGAATGTATAAAGTGTATGCTGAGGCATACTAGTGTTATTACCGTACAAACTCCTTTATGACATTTATTTCGATCGTCCTTCCTTTTTCCTAAGTTTTGGAGTTGAAAATACGAAACAGAATGAAGAGGCGCAGTAAAAATGACAGTGATCTGAAAAATGCGTATACATCCATTTTGTCCAAATAGAAAACTGGTCCGGTAGAAACTGCTGCCTCTTCTTGTTACGCCGAAGAATTCTAAATGCTTTCGAAGAAATGCTTGCTCACGTTTAAGACTAATTTACGACTTTTTCTAAAAGGTTTTATTGCTGTTTGTTTCTGTTGCAATTCGCGGTATAGTTACTCGCCCGGTCAATACGCTATTCGATCGAGCGATGTACACAAATAATATTAAAAAGGTGCATTCAAATAAAATAAATGAATAAAGAAATCGTTTGTCTATGAGATATGCTTATAAAATAAGATTTTAGTTTATTGCAAGTAGCCACGTCAGTTTTCATTCTGTTCGAAAATTGTTGAACTTTGAGTTGTAATTTTATCTGTTTACTGGTGTAGTCCTGGCAAGGAGATATATTTCGGTTCTTAATGCGGGAGGGAAATAAAATGTAAATTTGCAATAACAGGCATTATTAAACAGAGCTAACGGTTATATTGTAAAGTTCCGATGTATTGCAATGATAGTCTTCCGTATTTCAGTTTTTAAGACCTAGACACCTCGTATCGTTTTTTATTGCATAAGAATAAAATAAAATATATATAACAATAATTATGCATCATTATAATTATAGATATCGACAAATAATTGAGATAATAACTATTATAGGATAAAGTAAGATAATATAAAATAAATTTTTAATTTTAATAAACATTGATGTATTTTTTTAATACTATTTACAATACAACTTCATTTGTAAATTTTAGTCATCATGTTCCGAAAAGACCGTTGACATATAGTCATTAGAGTCCAGAGAAATAATTAATGGCTTTACAGTGTTTTCTAGCATGTTGTCAGCTTCCCACATTATTTTTTCTATTTCAATAACATGTTCGGCGCACATACTCCATGTTTTACAATCCACAGCCTTTATTCTCTCTTGCACGAGGGTTTCATCGTCTGTCATTTTAAAAGTGATATTATATCTTGCTTCAACCAATACCTACCAATTCTATGGGGTTTAATTCACAATGATATGGTTAGTTTTGGTTTTGGTTGAAACCAATTGATGATGTCATTCATTTCTAAGAAGATGTGAGACTATAACAGACCCAAGAGGAATAAGATCTAGTATTGGCTGCCTTCAAAAATATCAACATACGCGCCTTTATGATAGTTTTTAGTCCATCGTGACTGAAATGCTAGAAAGGCCGCTATGACATGAAAGCTTGCCTCGAGCTTTTTAAATTTTTATCCTGCTATATTTTACCAATGGTATTCATTTTCGGAGATATACATTCCTGTTGTCCCTTCGAAATTGTCTAACTGCTCTTAAATATCGTCGTCGCCAGCAGAAAATTTCGTCTTTCTTTACTAAAAACTCGATTAAAAGTGATTTTCTTCTTCGAATTTTTTCGTACCAAAAATTAATTTCCTGCAATTTCTTCTTAGTACAGTCATTTGGTATTTTTACTTGGAAAGTTTTCCGGGAGTATTGCAAATTTTCAATTTTGTAGATTTTGATGTGCTCTTTCCAAATTTAAACTTTGCCACCTCGTATCTTTCCCGCTTGTGCCGCCATATTGAAAAAATGGCGCCCAAAATCAGTTGTTTGATAATAACTAACCCCTTTCCGACACATTTTACAGGAAAAACGTATGTATTCAAAACAGAAATAGAGAAAATTTCCTACAATTTATGTCATAACCTAAAATCAATAGTTCCGACGTACGAGCGCTGTAAAGTGTCATTCAATGCACGTTTCGGCAGAAATACTCATTTTCACATCACCATGAGGTAGAGAAATAGGTGCGTTTTTTTATCGTGGTATTTCCAGTAGGCCTAATCCACATCTGACTCACTATTTCAAAATTCAATTAAATCTCCGTCGCTTGATTCTTGTTAACGGACCAGGTGTTGGATTTTCAAGTTCTTTTTTTCATAATGTCTAGCGCTGCACATTCTTTGAAAAACCAACAAAGGATTAATCGGCACAATGTCGTTTTCTATCCGAATACCTATATTGATAACACCAAGTTATTTTACTCTGTCATTCCGTTTAAATTTTACGGTATAGAAATCATTACCAACTTCTTGAGACATGTGACAGTTTACTTTTTCATCTCCGATAATTCCAGTGCTTATTAAATGATTTCCTTCATTTCTGGAAAAGGTGGATGAATGGACAACCAATCCACCAATTTTTTGTTATTTTGGCATGCTGCACAGAACTGGAAAATGCTACGTCGCAAAATTTCTCAACATCGTAACAAATATTATATACAAATGCCATTCTTAACGTCCAATTGGATAGCACGCTTTCCTTAACTCATCCACAATGAGTAAGCCCACCAAGACATTTATTTCATCGACTTCATTAACGACTGCTCAGTTGTCATATCTGACCACGCCAAAATTTGTCGAAACGTCTAATTGTGAAATACCCTTGACTTGTAAATAGTTCATATTCTCCAGCTGCCATTCTTTGCTTCAAATGAAGCATGTCTTGCGAATATAAATAACAATATTTAGCATATAAGAAATGACCACTGCCATGAAAATGCATTTTCTGCAGAGTGTCAAGATGTAAATTCCAGTTGCCCATTCTCTCTGCTTCCAATGAATTGTTTTAGGAGTGTAACCATCCGAAAATATTGCAACCATAATTTCGCTGTAGCACAGCATTGTTCCAGTTTAATCAATTCATTCGCACATTTATGAGCAAGTTCTTTGCAACATTCTTCCTGGTCCGCCTGAAGTATCACTGACCTGTCGAAATTGTGTAAAATTCTGTCTAATTCTGCACTGCGATCGGGTGTCAAATCAATAAATTGTAGGGAAATTTTAGCAATTGATAAAAGTGAATACACATGTCCTACCATAATTTTTTCAATTGAATTTAGTGCGTAAACAGTGTGTCATTATGTATCCGATAGATCCCATGAACAACATTAACAAATGGAATCTACCGAGTCTTACAACAGTATTATTTAATTTGGAATTCTCATCGTATGAAGAAATGATTTTATAATTTACAATTCACAAATATGAGCAATATAAAGTAAATATTACACGGGCCCCATTTTTTCAATATGGTGGCGCCAGCGGCAAAGATACGAGGTGGCAAAGTTGAAATTTTCAAAGCTCCAGCAAAATTTTCCAGGTAACCTCTATTTTTTCAACCAAATGACTGTACACATGAGTGAAATTAGGGAAATCAACCTTTTTCATTTCAGATAGAATTTTGCCCAAAATAGGTCTTCTTATTATTTCTTTTTTTCCTGTACTTCTCCTTGATGACCTCATGGGCCCGAGTTTATCCTCATGCGCAAGTCGGTATTTTGTTGAATTGCCAATTGCAGTCGAACACATTTGAACTAATTTTCTTATTTTTCGAAAGCGCAGTTTTACTAATCCCTAAAGATACCAGGCCTATGTATTACGGCTAAGATCACTAAATTTTACGTTTCAATATTGGATTGAGAAACAACATAAAATTGTTAATTAAATAAAATGCACTTCAATTTTGGACTTGGATTCTAGAAGAGATGTCACAAATTCTTAACCGGTAAAATTGATTTATCATTATTCAGTTCTATCGAACGGCACTTACAACTAATAATTTAAAAATACGAATACAAACATTTAATTTGGACCATAAGTTAAAACATACCACGAATATGAAACTTGCCTAACTGTGTTTCGATTTTATTACTTCTAATTTATACCGTTCGTGCCTATCGTGATAAATATAAACGGACCATCGTATCTCGTGAGAGGCGCCGTGTGAAAAATTATGATCCTGTCGCGCAGGCATGATATATCAATTGACATAGAATGCAATTTAAATGTGCAATCTACAAAGTGGAGCACCAGGGTATCAGTTTTACTGTTAACGAAATAACTTACCTTTAAAAAAAATTTCTTTGCTAGGATGGATAATCTGTCCATTCAGGGGTAAGAACACAAAGGGGATTTGCTGCGATGTCGATCCGCCGACAAAAGGGGCGAGTGAACATTCTGAAAATAATATCCTTTTTAATAGACATTCCAAATTTAAACCGGTCATTTTACAGTGTGGAATAGTACTTCCAACGTATTAAGAATACAAAACTTTAAAGAATTGCACAGGGTTTTTCGGTACTTATAAAAAAATTGAAATACGAAAGTTTCATGATTTTTCTGAATGTAAATATGAATACAACTATGAAATTTCATCAATTATGTTTTGAGGAAATATAAGGGGGTGCAAAATTTCTTTAAAATTACTTTTAAGTTTTAAAACTTAAAATGTTTAAAATGTTTCAACCAATACATAGTAATAAATCCCGCACCTCAATATCTTTATCCTAACCTAAAATATGTTTTTAAAGAATAAGTTCTCAAAAAACTTTAGGTAAAAATGTTTACTTTAGGGTTTGTTATTAATGTTTAATTATTTAGAATTTACTTAGTAAAAGATAAAAATAACATTTTATTTTTATTTTTTACTTTTTGACAATACCTTTAGTTTTTTCAGGCTAACGTTTTGATATCGTTGTTCGTTATCTTATTCATATTTTAGGTTAAGATAAATATATTGAGATCCGATTTTCACCGGGTTATTGGGCGCTTCTGCCATAAAAAAGTCATATCATTGCATGTGTTTTTAAATATTTATAATAATAATTTTATAAACAAAAGACACGAAGATAAGTTGGGAAAACCCCTTTTTAAAAACTCCAAATTTATCAGTTTATCGCAAGCCTTTTTATTTAATAGAATATTTGAATACTCCCGCCAATCTTTTCGCGAAGAGAGAGAGCAAACATCATAAAACAAAAAAGATTTGAATTTTTCTCAGCTTTAAAACGCTAATCACTTTAACAATGGTTAACATTAGAAATTTTTTTAGAACAGAATTTAAAAATTGAAAATAATAATTACGCCCGTTTCCTTAATACCCATATCTCGTTGCTTTGGGTCTCGCAAATTTAGCAAACAGTTTGAAAGTCCGTTATTTGGCATCTTACTAACAAACAATCATAACGAATATGTAGTTCCTCGATCGTGAACCTGATAAAATTTTCATTGGGACCATATAAGTTGAATTATAGTCAATTACGCCATTATCGCCGTATCCTGCGGAATTAAACACAATTGTACCGACGGTAATCAGAAACATCAATCACGCAGCCCCGTGCGCATTTAATAACGCTCACTGAACTAGTTCAATAACAAGCGTTTGTGATTTTTTCAAACCGCTCTTGGACTATTATTCGCTCCATTTGACAGCGACTGAAAACTAGCATCGGACTTAATTAAGAAGTTATTGACGGCAGTAATGCGTTGGAAGACACTTATGTTATAACTGAAATTGGCGGCGGTAGCAATTCGCATTTACAATTTACAGTTATTACAGCATTCAATTATTGCGTGAAAAAAAATCAAACGTAAAATTGTATGATATGTCTAATGGGACAATTAATTAACAATTAAATATCCATCAACAGGAACAAGGGCTACTAAATATTCACTAAAATCTCACTCTATAGATAGTTTCTTAATACGAATGACAGGGATCATTTCACGGGGTGGACTTAAAGTTTATATTTTTATTTTTAACACCTAGCCACCTCGAGTCGAACCCAAATTAGGCTCAGACTAATTAGCATACTAGAGAAAGACGAGTCTAATGAATGAAAGTACTGTGACAGCGGCGTTCCTACGGATAGCAGTAGGGTGCTGCAACGGATATCGTTCAAGCAATTAGCAATTAGCCGGAAAAATGTTTACAAAAATCGAAAAGGAACAATCAGCCGTTCAGTAAAAGCCAGATTTATATCAAGACAGGTCATGCCAGTACCAACCAACTATAAAATTTAATCCAGTGCTGAGAAGCTTTCTCTTTGGAACGCCCTTCCAATAAATTTTCAAAATAGGGAATATACAAAAATTAACAGGCTTGTTGACTCCTGTTTGTTTAGTGTTGATTATGACATTCTGAAAGTGATAAACTAACTGTGAATAAAATCAAGTTGATGAAACATTTAATAATAATGTAGTTTAATTCAATTTAATTTAATTTGAATTTTAATATTCAAATTTAAATATTAATACGAACTTAGCCATAACTAGTAAGTTAAGTTGCATTATACTGACCAAATGCAAACACAAATTTCTCAAACTCATTGTGCATTTGATATCTTTTTGAATTTATTATGTAATTGCTGAATTGTTACTTTACTTTACATAAATAATACTAATAATGCATAATTATAATTTTACAAATAGGTGAATAATTGAAATATTAATTATTCTAAGATAATTCGAATAAAAACGGATATAGAAGTAATAAATTGTCGATAAATTTTAATAAATATAATTATTTCAAAAAATCTATTATTTACAATACAACTTCATTTGTAAAGCTGAATCATCATGTTTCGAGCAGTCAGATGAACTACAGTGGTTGGAGAACAGAGAAATAATAAATGGCTCTACAGTATTTTCTAGCATGTTATTAGGTGCCCACATCCTCTCGTCTATTTCAATCAAATGTTCGATGCACTTACTCGATTTTGCCCAATGCACTGTCTATGTTCCCATCTGCAAGAGGCTTTCAACGTCCCTCATTTTAAATGTGGAATTATTCCGTGCTCAAACCCTTTTACCGGGGTTCATACCAATTCTATAGGGTTTCATTCACGATGATGATGATGCAAGGCGAAGTACTATTTTAATTGGTTTTGAAGCGCTTTCGTCGACAATAAATTTCATACAAAGAGGTTTCTAATGTACATTACAGTACAAACAGAGAAAAACATCGAATTACATCACGAAATTCAATATCAAATCTCTTGAGAACGACAGCACGAGAACATTCTATCAGAACAGATTAGATGGAACAATCAGGACGAACCCCATTACACAAACAGTGTTGAAAAAGCCTGGAAAAAATTTAAAGTGGACATAACACAAAGCGCGACAGAAGCGTGTAAGAACAGTTGACACTAATGGAAGAAAAAACAATAAATTCTGATTTACAAATGAAATAAAGAATCTGGCAAAAGAAAAGAAAACCGCTTATATATAAGATAACCGATAACCGAAATACAGCTGAATATGAGAAGTACAAGGATAACATACCAAATAATTTACTAAAATATAGGGGGAAAAATTAGCAGAAGAAATCACAAGCCTGTGACAAATCATAATCCGCATAGCGCAAATATCTTCTGAGTGAAAAACTAGCACTACCATTTCGGTATTCAAGAAAGGGTCAAGTAAGAATCATAATAACTATAGAGGAATAACCTATTGTGTTCTCCATTGGGACTATTTGTTCTTAGGCAGCTAATTAAGAAGTCAATAGAATTTAATAAATCCATGTTTGTCTGCTTTGTAGATTTGACGAAGGCATTCGATAGAATAAATCTCCAAGACGTGATTGGCAGTCTAGTTGAAAACAACATTGACTCCAAACATATAGAATTAGCAGAGAACTAAATGTTAACAATAAAACACGGATTAAAACAGCAAACGGCCTCACCCAAGAACTTTTAATAAGCAGCGGTCTCAGACAAGGTGACAGCTAAATTCCATTCCCTCTTTAACGTTGTGATGGATAAGATAATCAATAATGTGAAACTAATAAATGGCGGGTATCGAATGGAAAACAGCTCTCTGAAGATTCCGCTACATAAGAGATATAACATGATCATCTCCACTGAAAAGGCACAAATTATGGTGATTGGCAAGGAATTGATCCGGTGCGAATTACTGGTAAACGAGAAGATCTTTGAACAGGTCACTGTTGCGTTTGGTCATCACTAAAACAGGAAGGTTCTTTTTAAGAGATTTCATGATCAAAACATGGATCCCGGTCCATTGCTTTTGTTGTCTTAACCTAGTTCCCAAGCGGTGGTACGACGACGCAGTGACATTATACACAACATTTCTATCCTCATTTAAAAGAACAATATTTCCTGACACATTATATTTTAACAAATTGAGCTTAATAAGAGGTTTACGTAAGCGGTTGCTTCTTCAAATGGAAACATCTGGCGTTTTATTTTTTTTGACTAACATTAGTTACTGTATTCCAACATGCTGAACGACATTTCGAGTATGTGCAACCCTTGTCTGCTGATCTCTAGCTTTTCTTAAATTATCAAATACGCTGGTACTATTTTTATTGTCGTCATTACATGGATTGACAATATCGTTTTTAAGTTTAGCTGTGTTAGTAACTAAAGGAGGAGTTGCTACAGGTATGATGTTTGGAGAAACAACTTGATGAACTATTCTGTTACCTCAATTCAATTACTTAGAGGTCAGCATATGCAGCTTCAGAGATGTGCTAGAGGAAGTTCTGATCTGAAGTAAAGTACAAAAACGTGGGTGAGACCCGCGGAAACAAGAGCCGACATCTCAACAACAGAAAAAATGCTCCGAATCGCGGAAATGAGAATACTGAGGAATATAAGAGGAGTCACTCTAAGAGATCGGATGAGCAGCGAATCCATTAGAATAGAGCTAGCTATAGAAGATTTCGTAAGATGAATTAGGTCAAGAAGGCGCTATTATTGGAGAGACCATGTGGACAGGATGAAACCGGCAAGATTAGCGAAAAGAGCAAGAACACAAAAATCCCGGTACAAGACGACCATCAGGCAGTCCCCTACAATGATGGCGAGATGAGAGAGTGAGATCTCTCTCACAAGAGGCACTAAATGTTAACAATAAAACACCGATTAAAACAGAAAACGGCCTCACCCAAGAACTTCAGAACTTTTAATAAAGAGCGGTATCAAACAAGGTGACACCTAAAGCCCTACCATCTTTAACATCTTGATGGATAAGATAATCAACAATGTGATACTAATAAATGGCGGTTATCGAATGGGAAATAGCTCTCTGAAGATTCTCTGCTATGAGGATGCTAGATTAAACAGGACATTGTCTTAGTCAAAGTAGAAGGAGGAGACAAAGACATTTATTTTTATTCAAATTTACAATCTTCCTATTGCAAGTAAATT